CTGCTGCTGCTGCTGCTGCTGCGGCGGCGGCGGCGGCCTGTATGCCCCAGCCAAAAGCAAAGCAGCTTTGCTGTTCCTCGCGACATCAAAGGGGGTGTCCAGTTCGCTCAGCAGCAAGGGCCCCGTACCTCCCAGAGGGCGTCTGTGCTGCTGCTGCTGCTGCTGCTGCTGCTGCTGCTGAGTACTGGTGTGCAATCCTGAGGCGATCAGCTCAGCAGCAGTCATCTGCTGCTGTTGCTGCTGCCAAGAGAGGATTGATGAAGGGTCATCCCCCGTGGTGCTACTGCTGCTGTTTATTGGCGTTGCTGCTGCAACAGCAAGCCGCGCCGACACCGAGTCGAAGCCGGTGATGCTGCTGCTGCTGCCGCTCTTGCTGCTGCTGCTGCTGCTGTTGATGTTGCTGTTGCTGCCCCTACTTCTCCCAGGCAGCATGTTGGGGTTGCTGTTATCTAAGGACGACACCGACGGGCGTGCAAAGGGAGATGCAGCAGCAGCAGCAACAACCGGCATGCCCGTGCTGCTGCTGCTGCTGCACCCCACTGCTGTTGCTGTTGCTGCTGCTGCTGCTGTTCCTGTCGGGGCAAACGGGTTCCGCGAAGGGCCCTCAGCAAGTAGCAGCCGCTGCTGTTGCAGCTCCATGGCCACCAGTTGAAATCAACTGCTGCTTCTGCTGCTGCAGTTGCTGCTGCTGCTGCTGCATTCGCTGCTGGCGCTGCTAGCGCTGCTTTCGTTGCGGCAGTCTAATGTAGGGCTGGGCTGTACGCCGCGGGACCAGCAGGATCGCCATTGGCTGCTCTTGCTGCTGCTGCTGCTGCTGCAGCCGCTGCTGACTGCCCGGCTCCTGCTGCTCTTTTTCGCAAATAAAACACAAAAATTTACTAATAAGACCCCAGAGAGGAGATTGAGGCTCTCCACTGTTGGGGGCTCGGACGGGGCTCTGCTGCCACCTGCTGGTGGGGTTGTTGTTGCTGTCACACAACTGGCCATGTCGCTGTTCCTGCAGCAAAATGCGCCGCTACTGCAGAGAAATTACGAATTATTTTTGTTGCTAGTGTCAGTTTTGTGCCTAATTAAGCCACTGCGGCTCAGCAGCCACTGCAGCAGCGGCTGCTGCTGCAGCGGCGGCTGCTACTGTAACAGTGGCAGCCAGGCTGCAGCAGCGAGGCGTGCTGCTGTGTCCTCCGCAGCGCCTTGGCTCCCCAAAGGCTCTTGTTGAGGAGCTCAACTTGTTAGCTGGCTAGCCAGTGGCTAGCTAGCCATTCAGGAGCCATGGGATCGTCTCCTCCCGGGGCTGCAGTTGTGCTGCTGCTGCTGCTGCGCTGCTGCATGCGACCCCTGGCAGCTGCTGGCCCCAAGCCAGAGCCAAGGCGCTTAATAAGAAAGTTACTCACTGTACAGACACGCAGAAGCAATGAGACAGAGGCCAGCTTCAGTGCTTGCTGCTGTGCTGCAGCAACAGCAACTGCAGCAGCAGCAACTCCAGCAACAGCAACTGCAGCAGCAGCAACTCCAGCAACAGCAACTGCAGCAGCAGCAACTCCAGCAACAGCAACTGGACCAGCACATCCGCTTAATGCGGCTCTTGTGCGAAGCAGCTGAGCGCCGTAAAACGGCGCAGCTGCGCGAAAACGGACCTGCAGCAGCAGCAGCCAGGGCTGCTGCTGCTGCTGCCCCCCCATAGCAGCAAAGACCGTAGCAGCATCAAAAGGGCCTATTGGCCCGTAGGCTTCTAAAAAACATGAAGAGAGCGCCACCTGCCGCTGCTGCTGCTGCTGTAGCCGCTGCTGCTGCAGCTGACGTCGCTACTGAAGCCACTGTTGCTGGTGTAGCTGTTGCTGGTGCAGCTGTTGCTGGTGTAGCTGTTGCTGCTGCAGCTCTTGCCGCTGCTTTTGCGGCTGTAGCTGCTGCCGCTGTAGCTGCTGCTTCTACTCGTGCAGTTGCTGCTGACGCTGCAGCAAGTCTTCGCAGCTCTTCCCTCTAAGTTGCTCTGCTGCTGCATGCCTGTCTACTAACAAACTACTTCTGAACTGAGCAGCTAGCGAGCCAGCTAGCTAGCATACAAGCCAGCTAGCTAGCTAGCCAGCCAGCTAGCTAGCTATCTAGCCAGCCAGCCAGCTAGCTAGCTGCAGCTGGGGCTGACACGAAGGCAGCTAGCTGCGCAAAGGCTGGAGCGACGCCGCCAGATTTGAGAGACACTGTCTCCGTTGCAGCGTTCACCTGCTGCTGCTGCTGCAGCTGCTAATGCCGCGCTGCTGTTGCGCTGCAGCAGCAGCAGCAGCAGAACAGCCAGCCACTTATACGGGCAAGCACTGCAGCAGCAAGCGGCACAGGACGCTGACAAATGAGGTGTCTATACACCCCAAGGCAAAATGCATTACAACGAAACTCCTTACAACTCCTCTCCCTTTTGCGTTGCGTCTTGCTGCTGCTGCTGCTGCTGTCCTGCTTCGCCAACGTCTTCGTCTACTGGGACTGTGTAATTGCCCGCGTGGAAAGCGTCGACGTCCTTCTGCACCCTGCAGCAGCAGCAATAGCAGCAGCAGCAGCAGCAGCAGCAGTAGCACGGATATCAAGTCATACCAGAAGCTGCAGCAGCAGCAGCAGCAGCAGCAGCAGCAAGCCGCAGCAGCAGCACCAGCAGTCTCACTTTTCCCTCATGTCAAGCCAAACGTTCATATTGACGATCTTGGCCTGCGCTCAGCAACAAAAGCAGCAGCAGCAGCAGCAGCAGCAACAGCTTCAGCACCTCCTGCGCTGTGCTTCTTCAGCGAAACGCTGTAGCGCCAGCCTCAGCAACGACAGCAGCAGCAGCAGCAGCAGCAGCAGCAGCAACGATGTAGGCGTCCCGTACAGTGTCTGCAGTGAGGCGGTCCCATATGCCGACCTCCTTCTTCCTCAAGGTGACACTGAAGACAAAGCAGCAGCAGCAGCAGCCAGCAGCAGCAAGGCAGAGTGTAGCAGCAGCAGCAAAACGCAAAGTTCAGCAGCAACGGTAACAACGCGAGCTTCCGCAACAGCAACAGAACAAGAGCAGCGGCGGTAGCAGCAACAGCAGCAGCTCTTACACGACTTTTCCCACGGAGGCGAAATTCCACTTTGTCCGCTGCAGCAGCAGCAGCAGCAGCAGGTGCAGCACAACGTGAGCAGCAGCAGCCCCTCGCAGGAGTAGGCCTCAAAAAACAGCATCAGCAGCGACAGCAGCAGAAACAGCAGCAGCAGCACCGCCCCAGCTCTGCGCACGGCTTGCGAGTGTCTAACTGCCGCAGCCCCCAGCAGCAGCAGCAGCAGCAGCAGCAGCTGACCTCTGGAATGATCTCTTTGAAAAGCTGCAGGTTGAGTCTGTACTTTCTCCTCACGCCAGAGTGCTGCGCCAAACCCGTGAAGGAAAATGAATTGGAGGAACTCGAAAAAGAGCTGTCTTCCAGAGACAAAGCGCCTGCAGCAGCAGCAGCAGCAGCAGCAGCAGAGGCTACAGGGAGCCCCGCCCATGGCCTGCTGCCAGTCGTCACGCACGCCCATATGCGGAGCAGCAGCAGCAGCTCACGCAGCAGCAGCAGACGCAGCAGCAGCAAAGAGCTACTATGGGAGCAGTATCGAAAATATTGGCGGCTGAAGCAGCAGCAGCAGCAGCAGCAGCAGCACGAACACCAGCAGCATCAGGTCAAAGAGCAGCAGCAGCAGCAGAGTTACCTGGGCTGCTCCATCTGTAGGCAAATTTGATATTCAAAAATATTTCAATCGGAGACTGCGCCCACTGAAAGGCCGGTGACATCCTGCAGCAGCAGCAGCAGCAGCAACAGAAAAAGGTTGTTAGTGATGCTTTAACAGTCTGCCTGCATCTCGTTATTCAGCCACAAAGTCTTCCAAAGAGGCGGCTAGCCCTTAGCCTGCTGCTGCTACTGCTACTACTGTTGCTGCTGCTACTGCTGCTGCTGTTGCTGCTGCTGCTGCAGCTGCAGCTGCTGCTGCTGGTGTCCGTACACTGCGATTGCGTCGTGCTGCTTGCTCAGCAGCCTCTCAATCTCCGCCAATTGATTTCTTATTCCCGTCACTAAGCGCCGAACGCGGTAACCCACGTCCACGTCTGCAGCAGCAGCAGCAGCAGCAGCAGATTTTGGGGATGGGCTTGGCACGGTGGCACCGCGCGCAGCAGCAGCAGCAGCAGATTCGCAGTAGCAGCAGCACAAGCAAAAGTCCAGTGGCTGCAGCAACAGGGCCAGGAGCAGCAGAGCCACCTCAAGCGAAGAAGAACTCCCAGAAGCGAAAACCCGCAGCAGCAGCAGCAACAGCAGCAGCAGCGGGAGCTGTGGCTGAAGGCACACAATGCCTGCAGCAGCAGCAGCAGCAACAGCAGCAGCAGCAGAGGCATACCCAAGACATGAGACTCAAGGATGAGCTCCTGGGCAAGCTTCCACCAGCCTTTGCTTAGAGCAAACTCTGCATCTTCCCCCAATTGCTGCTCCTGCTGCCTTCGCTGCTGCTGGTCTTCCTGCTGCTGCTGCTGCTGCTGCCGCTGCAGCTGCTGCTGCTTCAGCAGCGCAATCGCTGCATCTTCTGTTGCTGCACTCAAGAAACGAGACGGGAGAGACTCTTCAGCAGCAGCAAATTCCCTGCAAGAAACCAGCAGCAGCAGCAGCGCCGCTGCTAGCAGCAGCAGTGGTCGGGTGGTGCTCAGCATCCTGCGTTGCTGCTGCTCCTGCTGCAGCTTCCGAGCAAAAATCAATGCGCCAGCGTTGCAGCTGCTGCAGCTGCTACTGCTGCTGCAGTGGCTGCTGCTGCTGCCGCCTGTGGCGCTCTCTTGACGGTCCGCTGCAGCTGCCGCCAGCAGCAACAGTTGCCGTTTCTGCCGCTGCAGCAGTCCTGGCAGCAGCTAAACGAGGTGTCTACACACCCCAAATAAGGGAAGCTGACAAACCGCAGGCCAGGAGTGTCTACTGATTCTGATCCCTCAGGCGTCCTTGTGTCTATTGACCCTGCTGCTGCTGCTGCTGCTGCTGCCGCTGCTGCACAGTTGCTGCTGCAGCAAAGCTGCCGGTGACTTTGCTTGGTGCTGCTGCAACAGAAAAAACAGGAGACACAATCTGGCACCAGGCGATCTTAGGGACGGGGCACAAGACACATAGCAGCAACACCGCGGACGATTGCGTCTGCATGCTGCAGCAGCGGCAGCTGCTGCTGCTGCTGGTGCCTCGGTCACCCAGAGCACTGCTGCTGCCACTACTGTCTGTTAGATCGATTTCTTTTTGTGGGTGTGCTTTAGCACTCTTCATCTGCGACTTAATTTGCGCCCGAGTTGCCTTCTTCTGTCGTTCCACGGAGGCGCGCTGCTGCTGCTGCTGCTGCTGCTGCTGCAGCTCCCTTCCGCGCCGTCTCTGGAGCCTTCCTGCGGTGTAGTATACACCTCTTTTTCAGGTTTCTTTTTGTGTGCTGCTGCTCTTCAGCAGCAGCCAGGAAACTCTTCCTTACCAGTTTCTGGGGTTCGGACCGAAGCGCCGCACTCCGCGCTGCTGCTGCTGCTGCTGCTGCTGCTGTGCAAAGATGACGTTTTTTACGTGCACGTTGCAGCTGCTGCTGTTTGCAGTTTCGCTGCTGATCCCCACGCTGGTGGCTGTGCGGATGCTGTCAGCAGCAGGCCGCGACGCAGCAGCAGCAGCAGCAGCAACGCGTCTTCTGGAGTACTTCTTGCTGGTGTGCTGCCTGCAGCACCTGCTGTCGAGTTTCCCCGTGTCGGTGCTGCTGCGGGTGCTGCCCACGTCGCTGCTGCTGCTGCTGAAGCTCGCAGCAGCAGCAGCACTTGCTGCACCTGCCCTCGGCCTCCCGTCGAAAGTTCTTTGCTTCGCAACAGCTCACTATGAAGAGTACTTAAAGGGAGCAGCAGCAGCAGCAGAAGAAAAGATTCTGAAGCCCCTCAAGGCCAACGTGCAGCACGCCCTCGACATGGCCCGCCAGCGCACCCAGTGACCAGCAGCAGCAGCAGCAGCAGCAGCAGGAGTGCGAGCTGCGGGCCACGCTAGCCAAATAGACGCAGTGCTGGCTAGCTAGCCAGCTAGCTGGCTAGCTGGCTAGCTAGCTAGCTGAGGGCCATCTTCTACGCCCTGCGTCTCCAGCCCCCGACCGAGACAGCCGAAGGGCGAATTGCTGCGAAGACGCACGGACCAGCAGCAGCAGCAGCTGCTGCTGCTGCTGCAGCAGCAGCAGGAAGTAGGGGCTCTGCGTCATTTGCTCATTTTTCGCTGCTTTGGCGCCAGCCACGAACAGCTGCAGGAACAGTTGTTCCGTTTGCTGCTGCTGCTGCAGCCCATATGAACTTGGAGGCACAGGCGGCTGCGCCGCGGCGCTGAACTTGCAGAGGCCGCCGGCGGCCCCCCAGAAGCTTAAGGCCAATTAGCAGCCATTAGAAACAGTTAAAAACAGTTAGAAACAATTTAGAAATAATTTGAAAACAATTTAGAAATAAATTAGAAATAATTTGAAGATAATTTGAAGTTAATTTGGAGATCTAGACGGAGGTTAGAGAGAGATCGGGGCGGCGCGTTGCAGCAACGGCTGATCATCGCCCGCTGCTGCAGCAGCAGCAGCAGCCGCTGCAGCAACAGCAGCAGCGAGGCAGAGCCTGGGCCGAACACTGCAGCGCTGCTTTAAAGAGAAGCAGAAGTGTCTTTAAATGGACTTCTTGGAAGCATCTTGTTTCGAAGAGTTTCTGCATTTTTGCAGAACTCTGAAATGGTGCATTTGGACGCAGGTGTACATACACCCCAGCTGCTGCAGCAGCAAAAAAGCAATTTTCTGCAAACTGACGCAAAAGAAATAAATGAAATAAAGGGCATTTGAAGGAACTCAAAAAGGACGAACTTTTCCCCGAAATGGAAGTCAAAATGCATGCAAAAAGCCCCACGGACTTCTCCAGTCTTTGCAGAACTTCTTCGGAAAAAATCCAAAAAATGTTCTTGAGGTGCCTGTGGAGGACAAGTGCATTTAGTTATATTTGCAGATCGTTTTTAATGCATTTATGTTATATTTGCTTCAGATTTATTCTTATTTATATTACTTTATTTACAAATAATAAAGATATTAAATCTAAAATATATATATGTGTCACAAGCGCATGCAAATCTGAAGTTCTTTTTAGTGGCTAAATAAGCTGAAGCAAGATGTCCATTTAATGAAAATTTCAATTAAATGGAGTTCTTCTTGAATAAACATTTTTGTTCTTTTTGTTCTTTTTGAATAAACATTTTGTTAAATAATTTTCTTTCCAAGATTTCCCTGAGGCGAAACTGAAAGACAAGACGCCGCCTCCAGTGGAAAGGGCCCCTCGTTGCTTCTGCTGCTGCTGCTGCAGCAGCTGCTGCTGCTGCTGCAGCGTGTCCTGCCTCTCCGTGGCCTCAAAAGGCGACACGGAGATGACAAAGGCTCTCAAATTCAACAATGACCGACAGCAGCAGCAGAAGCCGCCGCAGCAGCAGCAGCCGCAGCAGCAACCACCGCAGCAGCAGCCTCAGCAGCAGCAGCAAAGGGAGCTATGAAGCCCGTGAGGCCCTGCGACAGAGGGGATGGCGCGGCGCTTGAAGCAGCTCCGAGCCAAACCCTAAACCCTAAACCCTAAATCCGTGAATTAGAAGGCCACCGCTGCTCTGTCTCGTTTGTGTCCCCAACTAATTGGATGTGTTTCTTCTGTTGCTTCTTCATCGATTTTCCAAATCTGCAGACACAGTCAGACGCGCTCAGGTGTACGTACACCTCAGCCCCACACCCCACAAGCGCTCAGCAGCAGCAGCAGCAACAGCAGCAACAGCAGCAGCAGCAGCAAATGCTGCTGCTGCTGCTGCTCTCGCTCTGCCACAACCACTGCTACTGCTGCTGTGGCTGCTACTGCTGCTACTGCTACTGCTGCTGCTGCTTCTGCTGCTGCTGCTTTGAAGAGCCCACCTTGATGGTTTTGTCGCACTCCCCCGTAATGAGTCTGGTCTCGGACTTGTCAAAAGCACAACAAAAAATTCCATTTTCACTTTCTAAAGACCCCGGCTGCACTCGCGACTGCAGCGTCTGGTACTTGTAGCCCGAACGCCAGTCCCAGAAGTGCAGCTGCCTGCAAACAAACCCTAAACCCTAAACCCTAAACCCTAATTCCAAAACCTCACGCTCTGCAGTCCAGATATCCCAAGCCCTGTCCCCTGTCCCCTGAAGCGCACTCCCGCAGCCCCGGGACCCAGACTTGACAGCGAAACTCCTAACCCTAAACCCTAAACCCTAAACCCTAAACCCTAAACCCCGAACCCTCACCCGTTGTTGCTGCCGACTACCAAAGACGACCTGTCGCCCTCGTCGCGGAAGGCGCAGCAGTTGGGAATGGAGTTGAGGCCATCGATGTTCCGCTCAAAGGCCCCCAGCGGGCACCGCCAGGCCTACAGCAGCAGCAGCAGCAGCAGCAGCAGCAGCGGCAGCAGCAGCAGAAGGCAGCGCAAGCCGGTCTCGGCGAGGTGCAGCTGGCGAGCTTTCGCTCTAAGATGATAAGAACAGCAAAGCAGCAGCAACGGCAAGCGCCTTGTGGTGCACTCTAAACCCTAAACCCTAAACCCTAGGTACCTTGACTTTGTCTGCGCCGCAGGTGGCGAAGGAGTACTCTGTGGGGTGCAGCGCGATTGTCCTGACACTCTTTTTGTGGTTTGTCAAAGTGGCCTCGCACTTGCCCGCAGCAAGATCCCACAAACGCACCTGCAGCAGCAGCAGCAGCAACAGCAGCAGCAGCAAGTCCAGTGGCGGCACAGCAGTGATTTTGAAGGGGTAACAGACGGAAAAAAGAATTAAAAAGCTTAAGAAAGAAAGAAGGGAATAAAAGGATTGAAGAAAGAAAAGAAGAAAAAAGAGTTAAGAAGAAAAAGGAGAAACAGACGAAAAAGGAACAATAAAACGAAATAAAAAGCCGAAAAAAGGCACAAAAAGTGGCTAAGAAATGGAGATAAAAAGAGGAAAAAGCTTATTCGAAACTAAACCCTAAACCCTAAACCCTAAACCCTAGGCCCCAGAAGGCGAGAAAAGGCGCAAAAAGAGGCCCCAAAAGGCGCCAAAACCCGCCCGAAGACGCCCCCACGAACCGCCCGCGCGCAAACCCTCGCGCGCAAACCCTCGCGAAAACCCTCGCGAAAACCCTCGCAGCGCCCCCCCTTCAAACCCCTCGTTGGAAGCGCCTGGAAACCCTCGGGCAGCCCTCGGAAACCCTCGGAAACCCCCGGGAAACCCGCGGAAAGCCGCACCGTTTTGTCCTGAGACGCGGAAATCAAGTGCGGACGCAGCGACTGCGCGCGCAGCGCCATCACCGTGCCCCCGTGGCCCGCCAGCACGAAGACGTTTTTTTTTGTGCGCAAATCCCACACCCGCACTGCGGCGTCGCGGCCGCCGGAGCACAGCACGTCCACGCTGGGGTGCAGCGCCAGCGCGTACACGCCTGCGCGCACACGCCGCTGCTGCTGCTGCTGCTGCTGCTGC